TGTCCAGTGGCAATATTCTTGGCTATATCAACCAGAGATGTGTCATCTTATCTGACTGCTAAAGAAGATTCAAAAAGAGCAAGGTGTGCATTTAGCATTTTCTGGACAAGTTTGCAAGAGCAATTGTGTTTGTTTTTTGATTTGTGGTGTATGGAAGGCTAAAGCATCAAAACATTACATAAATAATATTTGTAGGAATAACCTCTAAAAGTTAACCTCAGCTGAAAGCTCCACAAATGAGTGCTTCCCATTTTGTCATTATTTGAAATAGTCTGAAGGGTTAATGGCACTACAGGGTCAGTGTAGGAAAGTCCAAATATTCACTTCTGTCTCCTGGAAAGAAATGAGCTGAGTATTCCAGACAAAGACAGAACCTCCCAGAACAGCTTGTGTGGAGTGTGTTAGGGTTTTTTAATTCCTACATAAATAACTCTTGTAATGCTCTCACAGTGTTCTCCTTGACTAATGTTTTCCTTCCTGCCAGCTCTGCTGAGGAAAAGCAGCTAGTTCTGCCTTGGTTTTTTCCCAGGATACCACCTCTTAATTATGCTCAGAATAAATGGAATTCCTTTCGGGGTAAGTGCTGATGTGTCATCAGTAGTAGGTTAGAAATTTTGATTCAGAGCAAAACCACATACACTATATTTTTAGATATCATAGTAATAGAAATTCAAAACACTTTTTCAATTTTAGTGGTTGGATTTTTTTCTACCCATATTTTTTTATGTCAGTTCCTTGGGAATATGAGTACAGCTTTTGCCATAGTAGTGGTGTGATCTGATTTAAAAAAATAAAAAAAAGTCTAATAAATCCAGTGTGCCCAGGAATATTAAAACAAATTAAAAAAATACTGTAAACTGACTGGTGATGTTTCCAAGTGAGCACATATGCTGAGAATTGGCTAAAAAATGCTGAAGGAAGCTAAAGTGTTGCCTCCCATGATGCTAAACAAGTCACCACTGCTGGAAAAGGGACATTTGGTGCACAGGCAGACCTGCTGCAGATGATGAGTTTGGGATACAGATCCAGGAGTGCTTTTGAGATACAGAAACCTCCTCAGCAGCACCAGCATTTCCTGCTTGGCCAATGGATGTGCAGAACTTGCAAATGAGTAGTGATTTGCTTTGAATTAAGACATGGAGGAAGCCAGTGTATTGATAAAGCATTCAAGAGGTGTCAGAGAAATTAAAAACACGTTTCAGCAGATACCTGAATTTATGACAAGAAGAGGGGGATAAAAACCCAAATAATTTAATTTTCTCTTTCCCAAACTACTTCTACTTTTCTCCCAAGAACAACCCGATCCTGTTTGTGCTAGTCAAGGCCCCAGTGACATTGCACTTTTCCACAGTTCCCTTTTTCCTTTTTTTATCTTTGGAACATTTTCGGGGGTCAGGATAGTTTAACCACATACCAAGCACAAAAAGACCCCACATTTCTATGAAACAAACAATTTTATGATGTACAAAGTATCGCTGTGTTAATTCTAGAGGAAATCCATTCCTGTTCTTTATGATTATAGCAAAGGCTGATCTTGGGTAAAACAGCAGAACAGGGTCCACCTTTCAGTGATGGCCTCTATTAGAAACTGCTATGAAATATTAGATAAGAGGTAAGAACAAAGCCTGTGCAATTAATCTTTATATTAATTATGGATTTTACTGAAGCAGAACGCTAGCAGGACTGTGTTGCAGGGTGAGCCTGCTTTTGGAAGGCTGTTGCAGCAGTTCCCTGTAAGAGGAGCAGAGGGAGTTGAGTCTGAGAGCTGAGCAGAGCCCTGGTGTGGGGTGTGGGCCGTGCTGAAGCAGCCTCCAGGCACAGCCTGGCTGGCCCAGAGCAGCTGGAACACAGCAAGCCAGGTGTTCAGAGGCTGCAGCTTCTGTTTCCATGGGAACAGAGACCGGCTCTCAGAGAAGGCAAGGTGATTGCAACATTCTTAATGGGTATGGCTGGGGACAATTTGCAAGCCCCTGGCATTTCCTGCATGGAAATTCATATGGGATTAGAAGAGCAGGCACAGCTCAGCAGCTGAGCTGTGTCTGTTTTAGCCATGGTTCTCTCTGGCAGTGGCTTCCTTGCTGCTGCTGTCCCCAGGCCCTGGGGCTGAGGTCCACACCCGAGGCTGGGCTCTTGCAGTTTGGACGTGGCTGCACTGCAGCACTTGTTTGGAAGCCATATGTCAGCTGTAACAGCTCTGGAGGCTGGGAAGGACTGCACCAGTGCCTTCCAGTCTCCATTGGCATTTCCCAAACACCATTCCAAGGGACCACAATATACCCAAGGACTTCTGAAAGCTACAACCAGCTCAACACCAGGATTATCTCAGTGCTCAGCATTTCTTATATTATGCCTTAATTCTTTTCATAGACTCCCTCATCCTCTTGCTGTGTGGAATAAAATGTTTGCTGTCTGCTTGATCAGACTCCCCAAAATCTGAACCATTTCCTCTGAAGAATGTCTCGCTTGGCATGTTAGATGAGCACAAAAATGTTTGTAGATGCTGTTTTCATGTTTTGCCTACTGTCAAATCCAAACCTGCCACCCAAATCCCTGATAAAAAGCTTTGCTCAAAGTAGTATATACTTAAAAATTAAATAAAACTTCCATTCTAAAGAATGAGAAAATTTGAGGGCTTTTAGAACAGTTTTTTTTTTAATCAGACTTATCCTCACTTTTTACTATAGAATGGATTCAAATGGTACATTCTGCTGCCAAACAATTTAATTACTGGGGAAAAAACCTCAGAAAGTGTGTTCTTGGCCTTACCAAACAGAACAGCTGATTTTTAACCTCTAAGAGCAGTGGTAGAAGGAGATGCAGTGGCTGTCAGCAAAGAGTCCCACTTAAAGCTCCCTGTTGACACTGCTGAATTTCTGAGTGAGCCTGTCAGGTCGGGCTAAAATCCCCTTTAAGAGAGGGAGAAAGGGCAGCTGAAAGGCCCTGCAGGTGTCCAAAGCATCCTGACAAGTCTCAGCCCCTTCCTTGCCCACTAAAATGCTGCTTCTTGGCTCGAAGGTACTGACATCACTTGCAGGGGAGTTGCAGGAGGCTCGGGAGGTTTCAGCAGATGGCATCACAGCATTCACAGCCTGGTGAGGTTCAGTGATTTTGCTCCCTGCCTCAGCCCCACAGAGCTCCCTCCCAGGCTCAGCCTTTCCACTCTTCATAGAACTCTAGCCACACACATCAAGATATTCACCCAATCCTGAGACAGAGCATTTCAGAACTGGAAGCCTTGATGTCCTGTTTCTACTCAGAGCAGAGGGAATAGGGAATTGTGTCCCTCCTCTAAAGCCCTGCAAAGCCTGGCTACCCCTGCATGGCACAGTGCCCAATGGACATAACCCAGCACCACCAGGACCTGGCAGCAGGGACCCAAGCCCACCCAAATCTGCTTCATCAGAGCCAGGGCTGGGACTCACACCAGCTACTCTGACAGCTCATCAAAGTACCCCAGGACTGGAGACCTGCTCTGGGCTGTTCTGAGAAACTCACCCAGAGCACAGAGCAAACTGCCCGTGCTGATGAGAGCATCCCTGGGAGCTGCTGGGGAGGTGACTGTGCTACACCAGAGCTCTTGGGTAGGATGGATGCAGGCACAGAGCCCAGCCTGAGGTTCAGTCAAATAATTGGCTTTGTGGCTGGAGGCCAAACTAAAAATAACAGGAAAGTAGCATATCATTTCAGAGGGCTAAAACGCACTCAGTGCATTTTTATGAACCCCAACAGCAGCAAAGATGGTTTCAAAACACAGCTGTAACTTTGAAATAGTAACAGGAAACATTTAGATTTGGAAAAACTGAGATAAAGCACTAAAAAAAGACTTTTTTTGCCCTTTTTTGCATACACATCAAGTATGACTAGTGCCCATGCCCTCAAAATACATTTTTTCAAGGAATTTTCCCTTCTGGAAGAAAGCTTCACTCCTTTCTCCTCAACACTGTCTGCAAGTGAATCCTCACGTTTCTCCTTCTCCCACTCTCATTGCACTGATGCTTTTTCCTGCTGCACCTCTGATCTTCCAGACTCTCATTTGCCTTCCTCTGCTTGCACTTCATTTTCCCTCACAAAGTTCCTGCACACTCCCTGTCTTCTTCACACCACCAGGAAGGAACCTTGCAAATTCCTTAAAGCAGCAGCTCCAAGTTGCCCATGCAGAGTAGGGGTAAGTGCAGCCCCAGCTGCTGCACAGCCCCGAGTGCCGCTGGAGCCCAGGGAAGTTGTGAGACTTCCCCACTGGGGGATGATGTGCCTGAGGGGCAGATCTGCTGCTGTGGGACAGCAGGAAAACAGCAACACCCAGAGCACTCAGTCGTTTGGAGATCAGTAAATCCTGATGTGTCCTTGGTGTGGACAGACAGCTTTTGCATAGACAACCACCACAGGACTATTTTTCTTTTCTTTTTTTTTCCTCCACCCCAAAAATGCCAGTGAGTATTTAAAAACAGATATTTAAGAATGCTTGAAACATCCTAAGGAGGTAAACAGAGGCAGCCTCACCTGGAGGACAGGTGCTTTGGGGAGAGTTTCAGCACAGTTCCCTGTGCTCAGGTATTTGCAGCTGTGTTATAACTGGAGGAGCTGATGTGGGGAGCTGCCTGAAATACCTGGTGTCAACTGGGTGTGGTCTGGTGCTGCTGCTTCACTGGTCTGTGAGGCTTGACTCAAGTCCTGCTGCTAACAAATTCTTAGCTCTTCAAGACTGAATTTTACTTCTAAATTTCACATATCTTGCATATTCATATGAACATTTATATGAGGACATGCAAATCAGGAGTGTTCTCTACATCGACATCCAGGTATCTAAATGTGTGCAGACACCTGCACTTCTCAGGGTTCTTAATTTAACCTGAGTCCTGAAAAGCCTTTTCAGCTGCAAAATGCAGATTTGAGCTAAGCTTCCTGTGCAAAGGCCTGGGCTCTGCCAGCCCCAGAAGGTGCTGCAGAAATGGGGCACCTATGTTCCTTTTGCTTCTTTTCCTTTGCAAGACGCAGCATTAGAAAATAGCTTATCTCTTTGTATTTTGCTGGTTTCCTTTGCACTGTAATTGTTGTCTCTCCTCCCGCAGCTGATCAAATCATATCACTGAACTTAATGCCTTTTTATTTTTTCCCCCTCTATTTTTTTCCTGTCCGCTCAGACGCACCCAAGGCAAGGAGCAGCCTGACACCATTTGACATCTCCTTGCTTCCTCATTTCAATATTAACTGTTTACCAGAAGAGAAACAGGTTTGGGGTGCGGGTGCTGAGCACTTGCCTGTCTCTGTGTGTGAGCAACAGCTCTTTTGCCCTCTGTCCCTTGCAGCCACAGGTCATTTCTCTGAGCTGCCTGGAACAGCCCCGTGCTATTGGCACCAGCCTGACTTCAGGAAGGACAGGTCTGTGGATGTGCTGCACTCTCTGCTTGGGCTGGGGTGCAGTGACAAAGCTCAGAGCTGTGCCTGCTGCCGTTCTCACCCCACAACCGACCTGCTGAAGGATTCCTACTCCTCCACAGAGCAATAATAATGACCCAGCTGCAGTTTAAAGATGCTTTTTGGGTAAGTGAGAATTTACTGTGTGTTTCCTATTTTCAATCTATCTGTATTTTAAAATCTTTTAAAATTCAGCTTGGTTCTATATATAGTTTAAAACTAATTTAATGTTGTTCCGTCTTCTAAATTTAATTTAGTAAAAATCCAAATTTTTCTCCAAGCAAAAACATAGTGTTTGGTAGTGTTAAATGTTTGATCTTGGGCAGAAGGATGCAGTGTAAAGAATATATCCAGTCCCCACAAAACCTGTGACATTCCCAGTTCCTGTGCTAGGACCAGAAACTGCTTTTGAAAGGGCCATGGATTTGTCTGTCTCACAGTGCTCAGAACCTGCTTGCAGTGAGTGTCCTCAGCTCTACCAGTGGCTCCCAGAGCAGGTGAGCTGTTGCTAATTATAGGCTGAATTCCCTCCTGTTTAGTGAAGAGCAGAGCCAGCAGCTGCAGTGAAATGCTCCAGCTCAGCTCCCTGCAGGCTCCCACCCTGCTGCCAGGAGCATTCCCAGGCATGCAGAGCTCAGGAGCTGTGAGGCAGCACAGGTTAGAAAGGACCAGCAGAGACACTCACAGCTAAGCCCAAACACTCACAGCTGACCTAAAACCAGCAAACACTGAAATAAGGAGATCTGCTCCATGCCTGTTAGTTGACTTTTGTTTGAAAATCCTTTTGGTCTCCTGTTTTCAAGCTCTTCCCCTGTAGTTACAAGGTAAAAGTAATTTCTCTCGTTTTGGTAATCTGAGGTTCTCTTGCAATTGGAGAATGAAAGTTCAAAATCAAAATTCTAACATTGCAAAGTTGAGTAAATAGGATGTTATGTTATGTTATGTTATGTTATGTTATGTTATGTTATGTTATGTGTTGCCTCTTTTCTGGGCAATCATTTATCCAGCATCTAGAACTGACTTAAAGAAAGACATGAAGCCATATGAATTCTTCCTGCCATTGCCTGGCTGTTCTTTCTGCTTGTGCTCACTTTCTGTCCACCCACGCTTCAGGGTAAACCCTCTCTTGGTAGAAAACAGAAGAGCATAGGCAAAAACACATTTCAGTGAACCACCATCCTCTGGGCACTTCCAGGAAGCCCTCCCCACCCCCACTGCAGTACTAGATTTGAACAGTTAAAAAGAATAAAAATACAATGAGGAAACACGAAAGTCAGGGTTGGTGTTAGGATTAACTGTGCATGACCACACCTAAGTGAGATTGTCGTTTGTGCAGCCACTGACTGCACAGGGCAGTGCCCAGGGCAGTGCCCAGGCTGGCACACAGCTGGGGGCCAGGGCTACCCTGGGAGCTGCAGCCCTTGCACTGCTGAACTTCCTTGGAAAACAAGGCACTTTTAGACTGACTGACTTGTAGGGCTGGTACATTTGGTAGAGGTACTGTTCAATTCCACAGTCTTTAGGGAGAATAAATGAAGCTATGGGAGTAGTGTGAGGGTGATTAATGCCAGCTGATGATCTGGCCTGGCTGGTTCTTCATGGCTCTTCTTCCCTAAACTTCTCTCCTGTGCTTAGTCACATTACCATGACTCAAATCCTTGCTTAGCTTTGAAGCCAACACCTTATATAAAGGAAGGCCTCTTTGGATTTCATATTTTTTGGCTGGAAATGTATTGCCCAGCTTGAGTAAAAGGGCAGGAATAGATCTGGTTGCAGGATGGAAGCTTTAGCTATGCAATAAGACTTTTAAAGTGAAAACTTACAGGATATTGCACAACACCCCACAAGTGTACAGCTTGCCCCCCAGATCACAAGATCAGCAATTATTTTTGCATTCATAAGGTTCTGTTGTGAGAGGAAAATATGTTCATGTGGTTTGCTTCAGCGAGCATTTATCTCCTGTATTTAGTGGGTGAACATTGAATAGGAACTGCCTTTCTGATTGACACCCAAAAGGTGTTTGCCCCATGGTGGGTGCCTCAACACAGAGCCCTGATCTCTGCTTGCTGCACATTCTCCCTGTACTTTCCCCGGAGGTGTCCCTGAGCAACAGCTCCCTGCTCCAGCATCAGGAAACTTTTGGGTAAGCAGGGGTTTCCTCAGGACCTACCTCAAAGGCGAATATGTAAAGAAACCCTAAAAGCAGGAGATCTCCCCCAAGTAGCAGAGAAAGAGCAGCATTCATTTCTCTCCAGAGTTCTCCAGACTTCGTAAGAACAGGCTGTGCTGTCTTTCAGGAAAATGCAAATTATTCCTGATAACAGGTTTAAGTTTTATCCTCTCTTTTCCAAATAAATGTAGCAGTGATAGCACTATACTAAAACTTCCACACTTAGTTCATTTTTTTCTGTAGCATGAGCAAAAGCATGTGTATTTTTTAATTACAATTTTTATTTCCACACACTCTGTAATGGTTTAAGAGACAGTTGCTCAAAGTCTGCACTCAAATGTGCTTCTTAACAGAAGTTTTCTATCCTCTGATAATATTTTTTGGAGAATGTTAGTGAGATGAAAATTCAGATTGATAGCCAGTACAGAGCAGTTGCTGATGGATGAATGTTCTGCTGGGCTGCTGTACAAGCCTGACAGATGTTACCTGTCTTCTCTGGCATCATATGAAACAGGAAGGGAAATTCCCATGTTAGTGGGGAGTAGTGTGTGGCACCAGCTGAGTTCCATGTTAAAGGGGTTATGTTAACAGGCAGAGCAACAGTAATTTTTTTTTTGTTACCAAAACCTCTATCCAAGAAAATCTTTCCCGCTCAGTCACAATGTTTCTGTGTCCTTGCACTTATTGTTGCTTTTCCTTTGCAATTCCTGTCATTGCCTTTTTCTTTTATATCGTCTGCCTCCAACCTCAAAAGTGCAGCTGCAGCCCCTGAAATGCAGCAATTTCTGGCCAAGAGGTAGGAAGGTACCAGCACCTCTTCCTGGCTTTGCCATACCCACCTGGGAACAGGGAATGAGGAAGACTTTCAAAGGAGCTGGTTGGATTTGGGGCAGGCTCCAAAGTGCCCAGAGCTGAGGGGGAGCAAATCTATTCCCTCAGACAGCTTTGAATCAAACTCAAGCAGCCAAGTCAATTCTGAAAATGTGTCATGGGCTCCTAAGGTACTTAGGATTTAAAAATAAATGCTTGAAGTGTGAAATGCTTGTTCCTTCTCAGCTGTGGGATGAGCTTGGGGTTTGTGGATTCTCACAGCTCACATTTAGAAGTGTGGGGGAGATGCAGGCCACAAATGTGAAGCAGGCCTTGAACATGAGCTGGCAGGATTTGCTCCCCTGGCCTGCTGTGGGCTGGCCCTTCCCACATCCCTGCCTTGGAACCATGGCTGTGCTCACACACTGCAGCAGTGGGAGCCATGGAAGTGCTCAGGAACAGGGACTGTTGCAAAGATGCTTCGTGTCTCTTGCTTTGACTTGAGGCTATGTTCAACCTCAGGTTCAGTGCAAAGTTGACTTTGTGAGAGGTGAGCCTCTCTCTCAACTTCTACCGTAGCTGTTTCACATAATGGTCTGTTATATGTGCCAAAAAAAGATGTCATTAGCTAACAAATAATTTAGCTTCTAATGAGACTCTTAACTGTGGAACAAGAGCTCTGTGGTGATAAAAGTCACAGTAAAGTTATTTCCTAAACTTATTAGGCAACGTGCTGAGGAAATACAACATCAATTTTTTTACTCAAAATAGGAAGTTGTTTTTTTTTACCAGGAGCTACCCTGCTTTCCTGTAGAGGTTGAGCTTTGCAGGACCTGCTGTTTTGCAGCAGGTCTGTGAGGAGGAAGTGAGACTGGCCAGGTTTGTTGGGAGGAACTGGAGCTGGGGAGGCTCCTTCCAGCCCAGCACCCCCAGGCTGAGCTTGGGCAGGCAGGGATGAGGCTGGCAAACCTTCCAGCCTGGCATCCCAGCTTGGCAAGTGGGTCCTACTGAGTTTGATTTGAATGGCATGGCACCAGTTGCATCTGACCCTACTGACACAAGGCAGATTAAGATAAATATCTCCCTGCACAACAGCACACAGATAGGCTCTGCTGCCAGCATGTCCCTGAGCTCCAGAGGCAGAGGCATGGCCACAGCCCTGATCACATCCAAGCCAAGTCATTGCTGCAGGGCATGTGTGGAAATGGGGAATAAAGGGGGAACCAGCTTGGAAAAGTTGAACTGGTTGCCCAGCTGATGTCTGTGTTTGTTGTGAAGTCAACTCCATCTCCACAGAAGGGGCTGCTCTACTCTTTTTTGACATGTGATTTCTTCCTCCATTGCCCCAGCTGCTCTGGGAAGGACACTTGCTCACTGAGGCAAGGAGAAGCACCTGTGGAGGGTGGGGGGGAGCAATCTCAACACTCATTGAAACCAGAGGACATCACAAGTAGAAAACCTCAGCAGTCATTGTGGCTATAGAAACACTGGTGCTTCACAAGTCACTTCTGAGCAGAGCACAACAGCTGAAATGAACAACAGCTAAAATGAAGCTCAGATGAACTAACACTAGATGAATGGATTTATAGAGAGTTCATTTTGGGTCAGTGACTGAAATAATTAGACAGTTAAATAGACTTTATTACAATTTTCCAATGACCACGTTGCAGTTGAGGGGTTTGACTATTAAAATTGGTGATTGATGAAGTACGTCACTGTGACAACTCTGTTAATATTTTTACACAGTTGTATCTGGTTTGTTTTGATCCATCCTGCTCTGCAAAAGTTGGTTGGTTTTGCTTGGCTCAGAGAAGGGGAGAATTCTTATTTCTGCCAATTTTAAGTGTGCCATGAGTCTGTATTTTAAATATGGAATAGGTGAGTCATGGACTCTTCACCCACATGTACACAGCCACGTCTAACCAACACCACTTAAAGAGTGTTTGTCACACACAGCTTGAAATGGAGCCTCACACAGAGATCAAAGAGGGTGTCCTGTGGCTTGCTAGAGCAGTGGTACATTTTCTGAGGCAGAGTCACAAAAGAGCCGAGGTTGGAAGAGGCCTCTGGACATCTCCAGCCAGCGCTCGGCCAGCACAGGGCACTCCCAGCACAGGGCAGTCCCAGCACAGGGCAGTCCCAGCAC